TTTGTTTTAAGTTATTTTGACGCATTCATTCTACAAAAATGTGAAAGGACAATGAATCTCGATAACAGCCATTGAAAAATTGAAAAGTTCGCAACAGTCCTGCAAACAGCTAAATAAGGCTAAAATGTTATTTTTTATGCGAATTAAAAAAAAACACTTTTAAAGGGATTTAAAATAGAGCACTCTAAGAAACTTAAAAATAGAAAGATAAAAGCTGTTTGTCTGTCTCTGTCTCTGTCTCTCTCTCTCTCTCTCTCTCTCTCTCAGTTCACCTGGCTCATTAATATTTATTTATTTAACTTTCGTTCTTAGTGTATTGAGCACTCTTTGTTTTAACTTATTATCGCTGACTTGTTTTTCTTTGTACCAGAGATTTAAAGTACGGGACGATTTCTGTCGCCCAGGTCGGAGTTTTCTGGTACTTTCTTTTTTTTCCATTTTTCCTCGGATGCAAATTTATTTGAAAATTAAGCTATCCCACAGAGTTTAAATAGATTTACATCATATATATATATATATATATATATATATATATATATATATATAATTAATCTCCATTTTTGTTGATGTACTTATGATTCACTATAGAACAAAACATTGCAGAAGGAAGATTTACCAAATAATTCTGTCACGATACTGAATTATTGATGCGACATCATATATATATATATATATATATATATATATATATAACTTTATTTTATTTTATATATATATATAATTTTACTTTAGATATTACAGAAAAAAAAAGTTGAAATCGCTACACAATAGCTTTTGTGTTTCGGTACTACGTTGTACCACTTCTGGCGAATGGTAAGGGACTTTTGATTAAATAATTTTAAAGGATTTCAAAAGCAAAATGTTACCTCTTTTCTGAAAGATAAAGGGCCGGGTGTTAAGAAAACATAGGGTCAGAATTAAAAATAAACTTGTGTAAAGTCTATTTGTAATTCTGCCAATATATATCAGTTTTAGCTGGGTGATGTTGAAAGACTCGAAACCTCTAATGAACCTCGGCTAAAAACATTAAGGATGATGCGTGCCAAAGCATCAAACAGATTTCATGATATATATATATATATATATATATATATATATATATATATATATATATATATATGACACCTTGTCAGTCAGTATGCTGCTCATGGCAAGTTGACGTGAATATCGAATGGGTTACGATAATATGAAGCAGATGGATAGGACATTACTTATCTGACATTGTAGGGACATCTTCCCTCCAAGTAGAGAGTCACCTGCATCACGAGCATATATGATCGAAGTTATTACTGCTCACCGTAGACAGTCACTGCGCTGCCTATTAATGATCATGACCAACAAACTAATATGAAAGAGCCCTTATTAAATCAGCCTTTCTGAACGACAAAATAATATAAAACAAACATTATTGAGCCAGCGGGTGTCTATTCCACAAAGCAGTAGTTCTTGAGGAGAACTTGTCCATGGGAAACATGTTGACTTTTGAAATAAAGAGGATACAAGGCTGATTCCACTTCGTGACAGTAGCATAGCATATCCTTGCTGCAAATGTCTGAACTGGCGAAACTAAAAAATGGAGCTCATCTGAACATTTGCGATGGATATAGTGATGATCTTCCGATGTAACATCTACAAAATATATGCTATTTAAAACCAGATAATATCTAAAATTCTAATAATATTTTTTCAAGGGGGTGATAATAATGGTTTAGTTATACATCTTTTATTAATTAATCCATAGCTGGATTCATTTACCAAGTGTATTTGCGCGTAAGTGAATATAACGAACCCAATGATAATTTGAACCCAGCACTCCGATTAACAATTTCGGGTCATTATCTATTACACCACCTGCACATCCAAGCTGACAGCAACTTGTATTCGCAAACGGTCACCCATCTAACTTCGGTGATCATAGCGCGACTTTGACTCATATCTTCTTTCTTTTATGTGCCCTGTCTCTTCAGGACGTAGACGATCATAGTCCCCCACATCTTCCTATCCTTTGAGCTCTTAATAAGTTTAGTCTTTTCGTTATTTCTTCCAAATCCTATTCTAGCATCCATTTACTCAAGTTCATCAAGTATGTTAAGCGCTGTTTTTCACTGTTCGTCTTTTCCTCAATCTGTTTCGAGAGTATCAGATTTTCCAAACCATCCTTCCTCACTACCTGCCTCAAAAATTTCATCTGCCTCTTCCTGATGTTAAGCATATGTTCCCTTTTTGTTTTTATTTTCTCCAAAACTTCGTCGTTGCTCCCATTTTCGATCCATGGCATCCTCAGCATCATTTCTATTGCTTCAAGTCTCTTCTTCATCTGTGAGGAGATTGTCCAGCATTCACTGCCATGCAGGAGAACGGATATTACGTAATAGTTCAGTACTCATTTTTTGTTTCTAACGAAATTTTTCTGTTTCTTAATACGCTGCTTAACTTTTTTAATGCATCTTTGGCTCCTAATACGTCTTCAGATTTCAATGTTGCACTTTCCGTTCTCTGTTAGAACAATTCCCAGATATTTAAATTTCTGTTCTTGTTTGGTTATAGTATCCCCGATTTGTAATTTGCATTTAGAGAATCGATTAGACATTGAAATCCTTTGGTCTGTAAAACGCTTCTAATTGTTTAAATCTGCCTAATCTTAGTTGCTTTCTTTCCTTGGACATGGTTCTTGATAATTTCCTTTTATGTTCTTTTGTCTGTTTTTGTGGTGCATTTATTGTCTTGTGAATGGGACATTTTTATTAATTTTCTCATTTTTCTTTTGTCTCGGGAAATCGAATCATTTTTCAGAATAGCCATTCCAAATAGATCAGCTATTTACTCACCACTGATTGTATTTTGACTTTTTTTCTTTTCTTTATTTCATTTCATTTTCTACACTTTCCTTGGCAACAATTCGTGTCGCTCTCAATTGATTATCAACTTTCACTCGGTTTATCATTTTCGACCGCAGATTGCTCGCTATCAAGACGTTCGAGCTCAGATAGAGAGTGCTCTTTTTCGCAGAATATTTGCCGTGCCAAGCAAAACAGATTACTGAAGAGATGGGATACGAGGATTTACCCCGATTTTTTCAACGTAAGATTCTAAGTTCGTTGGTATGTAATTGGTACTGTATAAGTCAACCTCCTGGCAACATCAATTCGAAGATCGGTGGATTTCTTGTGCTTGTCAGTTTCTTTCACCTTTATATTATGGTCACCAGCAACAACCACACGTCTAAGAGGAGGCATTTTCTTGTCTTTTTTCACAACAACGGTAATGCTTGGATTTATGGCCTCAAGGAACCATTCGGTTTGGATGTTGAAAACTCACAAGATCATGACTCGGTCGTCTTTTGTTATGACTTTATTATTATTATTATTATTATTATTATTATTATTTCCTTTGATTATCATTATTGTTATTATTTCCTTTGATTTCTGTTGTATACACATATATGGCTTCATGATAATTTCCACTAATCATTTTTGTAAAAAATAAAAAGTATACGAATAAAATCATGTACATTTTACATAGATAAAGCTCTTCGTAATGTGTGTGCGATACTTATGATTACATTTTTTGTATTTCTTTAAGGCTTGGACTACCAGGAATCCCTTCAATGAGTCTCTCGCAACCATTCCGAGGGTTTCGACTAAAACTGAAAGTATTGATGTCCTCATGTGCCTCATTTTTGAAATTTCCATTTCACAATCCTTTTGATAGTTTTTTGAAGATTATCAAAAATAATTTAGAATCTGCAGAGACTCCTATGTCAATGAGAAAGCACATTCTGTTTTTGCTGTCTTTGATCACGATGTCTTGGCGATTAGCATTGATTGTTCTGTCTGTGTGTATTGTAAATTCCCATAAAATTGTTATTATTATTATTATTATTATTAAAATTTCTTTGTTTACACGGTTATTCCTTTTCAACCGAAAATCTTGAATTATGATTGTTCACCCTCAAGTTTTTCGACCTCATATAACTTGCACATTTCGCAGAATATCTGTAGTGCCAAACATAGATTTCTGAAGAGATTAGGATTTATGTTTATTCCGATTTTTTCAATGTATATTTTTATATTCGGTGCTATATACCCCAAAGATATCTGTGACAGTTGTGGCATTAACGTCCCACGTCATGGCAACTTTAATCCGAGGTCAGTGAATTTCTTAAACTTCTCAATGTCATTGACTTTTAATGTCACCAGGAAGACCCACGTCAATAAAGAGGCATATTCTTGTCTATATTTCTGAGATAAGGTATTGTAATTATTTACATTGTTAGGACAGTTTTCCACATTATGTCCTGACAGATACATGGCCAATGGATAAAAGTGTTGGTTGGATCCAGTGACTAGACCTAACAGTTGTGAATTCAATATCGGGGAACAAAAACTTGGTGAGTTTAGTTAAAGGGAGGTAACTGAGACATACGGAAGAGATATGGAACGTTGAACTAGAACAGTATACTCTGGTGGACGAAATAAAGGGTTCAGTTCGAAATTCCAATCAACTGAAGAAGGCCAGTTCGTACAAAGGCCGAAACGCCGCTAACATGACAATTACGACGAGAACAACTGTCCGAACAATGCAAATAATGTAAATACGTCATATTCTGGTACATTTCTTTTCTACCCAATAATGCCTGGTTTGATGGCGTCAGGTAGGTGGCCTGATTAGATTAACACAAGATTTTGACTTGGTTGTTTGTTCTGTCGCAGTGTGCCCAAGCACCACTCCCACCGTTTCTTAAACAACCCCGGCTATGCCTGCCGATAGAGAAAGGTCACGGTCCTTGTGTGCCAAAAATAGCAACGACATCCTTCCAAACTGTCAGAAACACACAAAACTCAATTTTCGCCACTAAACAAAAATAAAAGACCTTTAATTTCGAACCGAAATTAATTTAAATACAGTCAACAAACACCGAACACACTTTTGACTGTAATTAATACGGCCCGGAATTAATTATATTCATTTACTTGTTTAGCGTCACCGCTTTCTCTTGTATGAACCGTCATACCTATATCCCCGAGACTTCGCAGCGGTTTTTAGCCGGCCCGGGGGTGCAGCCCGGCCTTCGGGCTGGGTTGCGACACATGGCAAAGTCTAGTTTGGACCATATCAGGACCTGCTAAGACAAGCCAAGACCAACTTGGACCAGAACTTGACTAAGCTTTGACCAGCTTGGACATGTTATGACCAAAACATTGACTAAGCCTTGACCAGCTTGGACATGTTATGACCAATCTTTGACCAGTGACACTATGCGGAAAAAGCTTGGGTTTTTCCCACGAAAAAAATGACCTTGTGTCACGACTTGACCGCGTGGGAGTCAAGTATTCCCACGAAAAAACGACCTTGTGTCACATCTTGACCTCGTGGGAGTCAAGTAAATACCGCCGGCCCGGGGAGCAGCCCGGCCTTCGGGCTGGGTTGCGACCCATGGCAAAGTCTAGTTTGGACCAATACCAGGACCTGCTAAGACAAGCCAAGACCAACTTGGACCAGAACTTGACTAAGCTTTGACCAGCTTGGACATGTTATGACCAAAACATTGACTAAGCCTTGACCAGCTTGGACATGTTATGACCAATCTTTGACCAGTGACACTATGCGGAAAAGCTTGGGTTTTTCCCACGAAAAAATGACCTTGTGTCACGACTTGACCGCGTGGGAGTCAAGTATTCCCACGAAAAACGACCTTGTGTCACATCTTGACCTCGTGGGAGTCAAGTAAATACCGCCGGCCCGGGGGAGCAGCCCGGCCTTCGGGCTGGGTTGCGACCCATGGCAAAGTCTAGTTTGGACCAATACCAGGACCTGCTAAGACAAGCCAAGACCAACTTGGACCAGAACTTGACTAAGCTTTGACCAGCTTGGACATGTTATGACCAAAACATTGACTAAGCCTTGACCAGCTTGGACATGTTATGACCAATCTTTGACCAGTGACACTATGCGGAAAAGCTTGGGTTTTTCCCACGAAAAAATGACCTTGTGTCACGACTTGACCGCGTGGGGAGTCAAGTATTCCCACGAAAAACGACCTTGTGTCACATCTTGACCTCGTGGGAGTCAAGTAAATACCGCCGGCCCGGGGAGCAGCCCGGCCTTCGGGCTGGGTTGCGACCCATGGCAAAAGTCTAGTTTGGACCAATACCAGGACCTGCTAAGACAAGCCAAGACCAACTTGGACCAGAACTTGACTAAGCTTTGACCAGCTTGGACATGTTATGACCAAAACATTGACTAAGCCTTGACCAGCTTGGACATGTTATGACCAATCTTTGACCAGTGACACTATGCGGAAAAGCTTGGGTTTTTCCCACGAAAAAATGACCTTGTGTCACGACTTGACCGCGTGGGAGTCAAGTATTCCCACGAAAAACGACCTTGTGTCACATCTTGACCTCGTGGGAGTCAAGTAAATACCGCCGGCCCGGGGGAGCAGGAAGCCTCCCTGATTCGCGACTTTGACGCGCCCAGTCAAGTCGATCAAGCCCAGCAGCTGACGGGACCCAGCAGCAGTTGTTCAAACAGTTTTCTTCAGGGCTAACTTCCCAAAGTCATTCGATCACCACTCTTCGCTACTGCCTTCCCTCTGTGACGCCAGCACTCCTGCAGCTTCCAGCTCGCTCCTTCAGCTCATTCCTGCACCTTCCAGCACTCCTGCAGCCTTCAGATCACTCTTGCAGCATCCAGCACTCCTGCAGCTTCCAGCTCTCTCCTGCAGCTTCCGGCACTCCTGCAGCTTCCAGCTCGCTCCTGCAGTTTACAGCTCACCCCTGCGGCGCTTTACTGACGTCCCGCGTCCTATTCCAGCACCCGCTGACGACCTTATCCAGTGCCCACTGACGTCTAGCGCCCGTTATCGTCCGGACACCGTTCAAACGACCTCTGTCTTTTTTACCATCCACCGTTTGCAAATAAAGACACGATTTCCATCGTCTACAACGGACCGTCTGCGTTTGTCATCCTTCTTTGCTATTGTCATCTCCTTGCCCTTGTGTCCCCCTTTTAGTTGTACGGTCGATTGGCACTCACACCTCTCGGCCCGCTGCAACAAGTGGTGACCCCGACGTGATCTGATTTGGCTGGACAATATGGCGACATAAACGCAAACGAGGTATATTCAACACATTAGCAACCAGCAGTCCTGCAACACCATTTTCTACGAACTAACACCTCTTCTGGACTGAAACAGATAAAGTGTGAACCCAAACCACGGGACGACTCACTGTTCCACTACATACGATTGGTGATTCCGAACTACTAAAGGCGACCCACTGTCCTTTATTTTCAAAACAACTTTTGGAAGCGACACACAAGTTTCACAGGAATGGATCTACGACTTTCTCCGGACGACTCACTGTTCCATTACAATGCGACATCACTGAGGATTTGCATGCACGTAATTCGTCGCTATTAATCTTGCAAATTCCGCTTCCTTTCAACACGTGCTACTGGGCATAGCATTTCGCATTTTCATTCCTGAAACTCATAAAGCGCGCACATACATTTTCCTACACCACGTGGCAACATCTTTACGCCACCGCTTGCTTCCCATGCTTCAAACTATTTTTTTCGGACGACTCACTGTTTCGAAAAAAACATTTTCAACAATTGCACCCTGTCGACAACACAAGCACATTTCGTGAATCACGCATCTCAACCACACTACTGACACATTTTCTTTTCAGTTCACAAGAACAATAATCAAAACTTTTCATGAACCCTTTTTTTCTTATATATTAAAAGTTGACATCTCATTACAACTTTTAATCTGGCGGGAGGTATTGTCGGAGTTACCTCCTCCTCCTATCCTTGAACTGGCTGAGGAACAGGGTCATTTCGACCTTGACCTCTCATTCATACTCCTTACACACTGTTAACACGTCAGAGGGACTAGCAAATCCCCTTTTCAGTTAGGCTATATTACAAACCTAGTTGTAATATACATCTAGTCATTTTTAGCTAACCTCGTGGCATTTTACTATAGAGACTTTTCGGTTAGCTTAGCCAATTTCTCTTGCTGGTCCCCCTCGTCACAAGACAGTGATTTCTCCCTAGATTCGAGGAGGCTGTCGGCGGCCGCAACGGTCGTCTACGCAGGCCCCTTGGCCTTCATTGGCCAAGGGCGCCGATCTACGGCCTGTGTATTAAGTTACGCTCCCATTTCTTTTTGTCTGCCAACTTGACGATAGTTGGGAACTTTCTTTCTCTCTCTTCCTTCCCAACACGTCAAGTTGGCATCCCGGCAATGACAAACAACGTTGGCAACGCGAACTGCTGCAACAAGTTGGCACCCCGGCAATGACAAACAACGAGTTGGCAACACGAACAACACGTCAAGTTGGCACCCCGGCAACGACTCAGCTTCAACAACCAACGAAGATCATCCTGGCATCACTCAACATCAAAAACCACCAAGCGATCATCCTGGCAACAACCCACATCAGCTTCAACCCCCAACAACGATGATCCTAGCAACTGCCAACCTCGACCATCAATGCCTGAGTTGTATAGAAGTTGCCTTTTCTTTGTTCATTTACCTTCATGTTATCATTGAATAATCACATCAGTCGTATCTAGTGGTTTTCATTGGAGATCAATTAACAACAAGTCTTTTTATTACTGTAGGACGATGCTCAATATTCTATGATTGTTGAAACGTAACGTTTATGTTGCGTCATTATTTAGCCAGCCCACCGCCAGAGTTCATATGTTTTCCTAGCTTCATTACTTTTCATTACTTCTTTTATTCTACGTAAGCTGAAAAACGACATCTACTCTCTGATAAATTGTATTGTTCTTGTATTTCATTTCTGAGATGAAGAACTGTGGTTATATATATATATATATATATTAGTTCATTCGCATATTGATTATTATAGATTGTGCCTCCGAAGTTTCCTAAGTGAAATGCGACATCGAATCTTTTGCACGTTTTCCTATGTGGCATCTGTCGGTCTTGAGAAAGACCATGAATTTGCACCTAAAAAATTATACCTCATCTGCTGATGGTGGCGCAGCATTTGTTATGACTGGACAGGCTCACACGGATGTGGCAGTCTGCAACGAATGCATGTGAAGACACTACCCCCCATGTCGTTTTCTTGCTTCCCGTGTTTTGGCGTCGTGACGTCCTCTCCAGACCGCAGTCCCACCAGGCAATGTTTTATGAGAGATCGATGGTTGCCCATGCAGCTCGTCTCCTCTCTTAGCATCGTCTTCGTCCCAGCAGTTGCCAGAACGAAAATTTTATATAAATACCAGATAAAACGACAATCCTCTTCTTGGTTCATTCCTACCTGTTTCCGTTCGCCAGACATTAACCTAATCGAGCATTTTAAGGAACGTGACGGAGAGTCCTACACGCACGCAAAATATTGCACCTATCATGAATCTGTTTACAGCTATTGAGATGGAATCTCTCAACATCTCACCAGAGTTTCTCCAACCATTGTTGGAATTGGTACCACGTCGAAATGCCTGTTTAGTGGAGGCCTCAGTCGATATTCGAAACCTCTGCCTGACTTTTGGCAGGTTAGTTTACTTTGACAGATTTGTCTGTTTCGTGGGAGACAATTAATTCCTCTGTTACTTTCGTCTGCATTAGTGTCAATGCTAACTAACAAAAGACAAATTCTCCACAGGCCAGCCAGAGGGAAACTACTTGCTTGACAATGCTATCAGATACTTTTCTCGCCTATTACTCAAGCATAATGACGACTAATTATTTTAATCGCGTTACAGTAATATCCATCTGGGTTTTCCTAATGTTTAATGTTCTCACCAATAGAAACGTATTTCCACTGAGCCCGGCTGATATCCAGGACTGGTTTTTATGTCTGTAGCACACCAGAAGGCCAGGCTGAGGAAATTAGATCAGTTTGAACCACCTCCACATGTACCCGAAAATATTCACATTAAAAAAGCCATATGCCACATTCCGACCAAATGGTAAAGTTTATATATCTTGATTCCAAGTTATTCATCTGAAATTTCTCATTCAAAAAGTTTACATGATATGTTGCAATCTTTCCGGTCACAAAAGAATGTGATTTTCAAAGCTTAAATAATTTTGCTACTTATGCAGAATAAGGACACCCACAAACAAACACAAATACGCACGGACATATACACAAACTTTCTGCTTTTTATCACTTTAAACGGTATTTTTAGTAGATACTCATATTTGAGCAGTAAATTTATTTATTTTCGTCTATGGGCCTGAATATTCGAAAAATCTTATTAAAGGAAAATATGCACTTTCCGGGGTGGATTGAAACTTGCGTCCCCATGGACAGAGGGAACCGTCTTTAGATCCGACGTGCTTTAACTGCCTCAGCCATGATGAACCTTTATAGATGAGTAGAGGATCCGGTTATTTATTAAAGGGTATATCGGCATGAATATTCGCGAAATATTATTAAAAATCGAACCAGGATTCGAGCCATATCCTAAATTGCTATTTATTATAAATAAATGCAGGTTCTACTCAAATATGAGTAGCCACTAAAAATAGGAGGATAATATATATTAAATATATATAAATATATTAAATATATATATTTAAAGTTATATATATATATATATATATATATATATATATATATATATATATATATATATGTGTGTGTGTGTGTGAGAGTAACACAGATAGTGAAATATTTTTTAAAAATTGAACGTATTAAAACTGCTCAATATAAAGTTGGAGTACCAGACTTGCGAAGGTGTTTAATATTTATGAAGGATGAAAGCTGATCAGAGCACACTACCGCGGTTTCGATCTCTACGGTCTCCTCAGATGGTTTGTTCAGTAAATCAACTTCACGGAGATCAACAACTTCGAAACCGGAAGTAGTAGTAAAAAAGAATTTCTATCTTTAACCTGGTTCAAATAACCCCAAGCTGAACCTCTTAAAATGTCTGAATTTGTTCATTATTTCCGACCAATTCATTGCTGTTTTTATATGTTGCTATAGTCAGTTTCCCTTCTTGGCATAGCCTACACGTATTCTCTACTATTATGTTAGATTTACATTTCTTAAAATGGTCCATTTAATGCTTGGACTTTTGCTGTGTCTCTCCCTAAATTTCCAATAGTAGCTTGTTAGCTTCGTGCTGTACCTATGCTCCGGAATTCTAAAGGGTGAGGTGTGATTGTACCATCTCCTCCTGAACTGGTCCTCAATACACCCGATGTATTTATTTGCGTTACTATTTTCACCTTCCACTTCGGCACGATACACAACGCTTTCAGTACAGCATAATCCATTTAAAGGACAGTTATTTTTGTCCTGCAAATGCATAAGGTCGCGGTAGTGTGCTCTAGTCAGCTTTCATCCTTTTTAAATACAGTGTAACACGGATATAAGAGAGTTGTCGGGACCGGAGAAGTCTCTTATATCCGGGTTTCTCTTATATCCGGGTTTGGTCTATTTCATATACATTAACACAGGCTCTAATTTGGGACGAGAGAAAATCTCTCTTATATCCGGGTTTCTCTTATATCCGGGTCTCTTATATCCGGGTTACACTGTACATATATATATATGTATATGTGTGTATGTGTGTGTGTTAATTAAACGTCATTTTTAGTGGCTACTCATATTTGAGAAGACTCTCCATTTATTTATTAAACAGTATATTTATTCATTTTTCGTGTGCAGCCTTGAACATTGGAGAAATTTTATTAAGGAAGTATATGCGTTCTCCCGCATATTTTACTTTAAAAAGGCCCGTAGACGAAAATAAATAAATATACTTTTTAATAAAGAAATGGAGCATCTTCTCCAATATGAGTATCCACTAAAAAATTATGTTTAAAATGATAAAAATTCTAGTCTGATTAATAAAATCCATTACCTTAGGAAAATACATTTACAGGTGTATACATCGGTGTCAAATATGGACAAGTCAAATTTCATTTATTTGTTATTTGTAAATTGCTAATTAATTATCTAGTAATAATAATATTAGGATGTCAGGGAACAATTACGTTTTACAGAAAGGATATAAAAACAGATTAAGTTTATATATTATTTATCAAAAATGCAAGCAGCTTCAA